GGCCCGGGCTGGGGATTTGAACCCGCCACCTTAGGTGTATGTGGCTGGCGCCTTAGCCGCTTGAGCCACAGGCGCCGAGCCGCAAAAACTGTTTTTAAAAACCACATTTCATTAACAGAATGAACATAACAGGTTCACGCATTTTCTGGGTAAAAGACATGACCTTTTTAGCTCTAAGGTTTTGTGATGCTGGACTTTTGGCTTCAGGTAGTAGCAGAATGAAACAATTTGCATTAAAATAGGACTTTTATCACCTGAGTTAATTATGCTAATTAAGTGACAGAACCATCTATGAACAGTCTTCCTGTCTGTCCCCTCTCTGTAGACAGGTTATCTGCACAGTCACTGAGTAGGAAAAAACACTAATCCATGCAGTTGTTCAAGTCTCAATTGAAAGCCTAGCAGTTTGTTTTTTGGGTCAGGTTGTATTTTGTTCTAAAACTTACTTTAGAATAGTACTGTTTAGCCGTTGCTTCATCCTTTGCAATGCCCAAGCCGAGCTGAAGACATCTGGCGTGGTAGAAACTTGCCATGGCCATGCCTCGGATGATGAACTCCGGCAGACAGTCCGTGACCTGGGCTATCATGGGGATGTCATGAACTTCATCATAGTCAGCGATCCTAATAGGATATTCAATTGCAAAATGAACATCAGTTATGGTTTACAGTTTCACAAAATGATGCGTCTAAAGTAAAATCTCTCTATTCCTCACAGAACTAAGTTGTTTGTGTAAGATGATGGGTAAGTCTAACAGTCAAGTAATATGTAACACAGACAGATGAAGTAACTAGCATAGCCACTTTACACTTTGCCCAGGACGACATTCAGCAGGCTCACTAGAAGACAAAGGAACTTTTCTTTCTTCTAATATTTTTAAGCTTCATATCATTTTGTGTATTTAAACCTAATGGGGGAAAAAAGCATTTTCTATCTATTTTTTTTTGAACAGTAAATAATTTATTGGTAAGTATGTGGTTTCAATGGCAGTGATTAAGTTCACCTAAACAGAGGACAATAATCAAGTCAAAAGAATAAATTTTTGCTAATCAGAAAATCTGTGTCCATTGGGCCTGTCACGTAGAAATCCACAATCACTGCGAGGCCAAATCTTAAAGAAGATCTGTCCTCTTATTAGTCCATATGGAATAGGTCCATAGTACCTCGAATCTGTAGAATTCTATAGATTGTCACCTTCTAACCAAACATGACCTGTTGGCACATAACTATGGCTTTTAAAGAAATCTGATGAACTAGTAGTAAGGATTTTGTCTCCTTCCAAACCAATTACTCTTCTACAAATAGTTGATTTTGGATCACCTGGGCTTTTTGCAATCATAATGTCACCTCTTTGGATACTACAGAAGTGTCGACTAATTTTCTGCAAAAACAATATCTGAATTTTTAATTGTAGGCTCCATTGATGGTCTAGAACACATACCACCACCACCAATGTATATTCAAAAGCACAATGAGCTATACAGCTGTACTGAATAGTATAGCAAATAAGTCAAAAAGTTTTTCTCAGAACACCACAAAGCATAGTTCTATGTAGACTCTGCCACCATTGACCATAGGTCTATTCTACAAAATATTCAATTTTTAGAAAAGTTGCAGGGCTTCAAGAAAAAAAATCTAAAGCACGTCTCAAGGTATATGTGGGTGATCCACAATTTCAGATTCCTGAGCCCCACTACAGTTGGCCGTCCTTAGGTGAAGCTCGCATTTTCTATTTCTTTTGATCATGTATTGAAACATCAACTTTATATCTGGACATTGATCATATACAACCAGAAAATATTTTAAGAAACCAATACATTTATACTCTCTAAAAATAGGCAATGAAAAAAAGTTATAACCTGGACACAAATGTGGAGAATTGTATGAGAATGAGACCTGATCTGTTCCATGTTTTTTTTTTTTAAGAGACAAGAGTTTTATTGTGTCACCCTTGGTAGAGCGCTATGGCATCACAGCTCACAGCAACCTCCAACTCCTGGGCTTAGGCAATTCTCTTGCCTCAGCCTCCCAAGTAGCTGGGACTATAGGTGCCCGCCACAATGCCCAGCTATTTGTGGTTTGGCCAGGGCTGGGTTTAAACCTGCTACCCTCAGTGTATGGGGCCGGGACCTTAGTCTGTTTCATGTTAACCACATGTTTTGGGAAATACGGATAAGTTCCAAAGATTTTGAATGATTTAAAGCCTTAGTTTCAACCAGGATGGGCACTTAATTTAGGATATTTGCAGTCTGGTTGTTAAGTGGCTGCCTGGAAGCCAGAATGTATGCCATTTTTATAATCCTGCTGTAAAAGTATGTTTTTTCTTAAAAGTGACTGCTGCTTTAAAAACTTAATAAACTTGCTTAAGCTAATAGCGCTGAAATCTTCAAGACTGAGATGGAATTATGCAATATGGTAAATAACCACTAGCTATTTAGTTAAAATTAAGATTTAAAAGTTTAGTTTTAACTTGTGCTAGATGAGTATTAAGTACTCAACAGCCCCAGTGCCTCAGCCTCCCAGGCAGACTTTACTGCTGTGTTTGAACAGTGTATCTCCCCATAAAATTCACATGTTGCCAATGTGATAGCACCGAGCAGTGGAACCATTAAGAGTGAGCAGGTAGGTCATGAGGGCTCCTCTCAGTGAATGGGATTGAGACTCTTGTACAAGGGGCTGTATACAGCTCTCAGCTAACTTGCCCTCTGCTGCCCGCTGCTACCTGAGGACACAGCAGTCCTCCCCAGACAGCCAAACCTGCCACTGCCTTAATCTTGGACTTCTAAGCCCCAGAACTATGAGGAATAAATTTCTATTCATTATAAATTTCCCAATCTGTGGGATTCTGTTACAGACAGAGCAGGCTAAGACATTCACCTTTTGGAAAATGTGACACACTTTGTAAAAAATTTCATGTTATAGTAGTACTCCACCAGAGTCCCTTGGGCGTAGACATTCCCGCGTTCTGCAGCTTCTCTTAAGCAGTGCAGGGCCGCGTCAGTGTCTTGGTGGATACCTTGACCATAAAAGTACATGAGACCAAGCGCACCCTGTGACTCCAGGTTGCCATTGCCACATGCTTCTGAATGCCAATAAAATGCCTAAGAAAAAGCACAATATCATTTATTCATGAGACAAAATTGTAAGGAAATCCTAGAAAGAAAAAAATCTTTTCATTATAAGCTAGTAGTATTATTCATCCCTTTCATCCCTAAGCAAAAGTTTCTAGCCTCCTCCCCCGCCGAATGTATTTCACACTAGTGCCCAATTCACATGCCTAAAAGGGTGTGACAGCTCCACTGTGTCTACCCACAGTGCGGGTGGCGGCACAGTCCAGAGAGGTTTGGCAGAGCATGATCAGCAGTCCTAGGTTTCAGGATTCTTGATATTCCCGAGTAGGGGTCAAGAAAGTCAAAATGGAAACGAAATGTCTGAAAGCCTGAGGTTCAGCAGGGAGAGAAGGGGCTCCAAGGCTGAGAGCCAGTAGGAGCTCCAAGTGCACCTCAGAGCTGGC